GTGGCAGCATCTAGGACTGATGGACACATGAGTAGGTGGGAGAAAGCCATGAATATTTCATGGGCTCTGCCAGTGTCCTAATGGATTTGAAGAGTGATGCAACCATCGTTGCACACTTGCCTCTTCACAGAGCTACAGAAAGGAAAAGCTACGAGCAATGACTGATGTCCTGATATTAGTTTATAATAACTGTCTCATTGGTACACTGAGATTCGCTGGGGTGATCAGCTATCATTGTTCTTTAAAAGTGAAGTGTTCAGCTAATGCATCAGCTTGCAGGTAGAAGTACTTCCCACCATGCCTGACAATGTGAGTTCAATCACCAAGACTCATATGGTGGAAGGGACAAACCTGAAAATTATCTCTTACCTCCACACTCCCACCATGGCACTCATGCACCCATCCATACACACTTGCCCCCATACACCCCACAATAAATAAAAATAAAACATAATAAAAAATGTAAAGCTAAATGTTCCTTGTTTTGAAATTAAAGATTTCCCACTTCAGTGGTGTTAATAAAGTTTTTTTGGTTGTTTTTTTTTTTTTTTTTCTTGGTTTGGGAATGTAGCTCAGTAAGAGCTATATGCTGGCCAAGCTTGCATGATGGTTTTGGGTCCAGTTCCCAGAATACACATGCATGTGTGCACACATGTCTTTCTTATATGAAAGAATGATGATTATAAATAATAGCTAGATATTTTCTTATTTTGAAAAATGTATTTACCTCTGTTCATTTTACTCAACTTAGTTTTTCAAAGGTTTTCAGTAAGATACAGTTGGTCTTTACATCTACAACTACCACAATTATGGATTCAACCCACCAAGGAGCTAAACTATTTAGGAAAAAAATACTAGATCTGTACTGGACATGTACAAATTTCTCTTTTAATTCTTCCTAAACAGCACAGTACAGCAGCTGTTTAAATGGCATCTGAAATATGATAGTATATGCCATAAATATAGAGATGGTGTCAACAGCTAGAAAGGGAGGCTGGGCGTGGTGATAAACACCTGGTCCCAGCACCCAGGAAACAGATGCAGGACGATTGTAAATTCAAGGCCATTGTGGGCTACACAGTGAATTGCAGCCCAGCAAGGATTACAGTGTGATATTCTATCTCAAACCAAACAAATAAAAACAAGATAAAAGGGTAGGGCATTTGCAAACACTATGCCATTTTATATAAGAGACGGGCAGAGGAGGATTTTGGTATCCATAGCAGGTCCTGGAATGGAGCCCCAAAGTCATATAGGGACAACTACTTAACATATGCATTTGCAATTTGTTTTTAAAAAGAGATCTGTTTTATTATTTACTTGTGTGTGTGTGTGTGTGTGTGTGTGTGTGTGTGTGTGTGTGTGTGCTCACACACATGCATGCATAAAGGTATGTAGGTACCCTTTAGGAGGCCAGAGATTGAGTAGTTTCAGGCAGCTGTAAGCTGTCTGATACAGAAGTGGGAATCAAACTCAGACAAGAACAGTACACACTCTTGGTTGCAAAACTGTGCTTTATGGGTCTTCTAACTTGAGAAAATAAAAATCTGGATACCTTATATAGGTGTTCTAATTTCCTTAAAAGTATCTTTATCTTATTGTAAATTATGTGTGAGTACTGGGGTGGGGAGGTGAGTGTACATGAGTGTGGGTGCTGGTGGAGGCCAGAGGCTTTGGATTCTCAGGAGCTGGTGTTTTAGCAGCTGTGAGCCAGCCAATATGGGTGCTGGGATATGAACTCCAGTCCTCTGGAATAACAGTATGCACGCTTAACTGATAAGCCACCTCTCCAGCCTATCTCCACCCCCTTTTTGAGACAATGTATGGAAGTAACCCAAGCTTATCCTAAACAGCCTATTTTCTGCCTATTTGTAAAAGAGGAAATGGGAATCTGTGAGGTTAAATGTTAAAGCATTACTCAAACACAGAAGACCTTTATCCTGGGTAAGAACCAAGTAAGAGTTGGGCGTGGTGGTGAGCATGCATGTGATACCTGATCACTGAGGGATTGGGGCAGCTTTCTATATAGTCCCAGGCCAGCCAAGATTAATAAAGTGAAGACTAAGACAGGTCTCTTGCTACCAGAATTTGAAACTCTTAGCTCTCACTCAACAAGCGTTAAATCTCACCCTACTGGCATTTGCAATATGGAACTGAGGCAAAGGAGACTTTTATGCATGTTACTACACTCCATGTTAGGCTCGACTGTGCTCTGCTGGCTCACAATCATCACATATTTCAGACACCAGATGTGCTTCTCATTAGGTTAAAAAACAACAGCATGGTATAAGACAAATGCACATGTCTATTTCATTTATAAGCTTACCTTCTCTCTTATCAGTCACAAACAGAAGCCACTACTATAATGTTATAATGCAATAACTCTGCATCTAGGACAAGAAGGCTGGCTTATCCCTGCTCATCTATTGAATCACATAAATATCAGATGTTGACACATGTTAGTGAGACAGACAGGAAAGCCTTGAAATCCAGCTCAGCAACCAGGAAAATACTCAAAGCTGAGATGCCAAAATTTTTAGTCCATTTATTTCAACTTCTCATTATTATTCCATTTTTTTAAACTTGGGGACAGTTTTACTAAAGTTTGAGAAAAAATTAGGATGGGGGGTGGGGGACTGTTGTAACTCTTGGCAGCTGCCAGGAAGAGGGAGATGGAGAAGACAATTGGAGAATGCAATGACCTTCTCGGTGGAGGCCTGGCACACAGCTGCACAGTACATTGCTGAATGGAGGAGGCTTTAGAGAAAGAGTAAGAATGCCCAGAGTGCCAGATAAATCAAGTTTAGGCTTTTTTACAAGTATCTGGAGAAATAGAGAGTGAGAGAGAAAAGAAAAATTAAAAGTTGTATTTTTCTAAGTTCAGAAAAAGAAATGGGTGGGCTCCATCCACGAGGCTATATGGTGGATGTTGTTTGTGTATTTGTTTGTTTGCTTGCTTGTTTTTGAGGGAGAGAGGGAATCTCTTATGTTTTTGATTGTGTGCCTAGCCTTTAACAGCTGAGCCATCTCTCCAGCCCGAAAGGGAGTCTCACTATGTAGCCTTGGCTGGACTGAAACACATAGAGATCTACCTGCCTCTGCCTTCTGAGTGCTGAGATCAAGTGTGGGTGCTCCAGGTACTGCCTCCAATTAATTTTACAGTTACTGTATTTATGTAAGTTTCCAATTACCGACTTAATGCTGTTCAGCATGTAGGCCCATATACTTAACCTTTTTTTCTTTGTAAAAAAATTTTAACTTTATTATTATTAAGGTATGTGTACATATGACAAATACATGTATCATAGCCTGTGAGTGAAGGCCAGAGGACAGACAACTTTGTGGAATCAGATTTCTCTTTTTATGCTTATACGGGTTCCAGAGATCAAACTCAGGTCCAGCTTGCACAGTTAAGTGCCTTTACCTATTAAGCTGTCTCACTAGCCTCTCCCCTCCCTGTAATGGGTTGAATGAGAATGACCCCTTCCCCAGTAGATGGAACTGGTTAGAAAGGATTAGGAGGTGTGGCCTTGTTGGAATAGGTGTGGCCTTGCTACAGAAAATGCATTACAGGGGGATGGGCTTTGAGGTTCCAAATCTCTCTCTCTCTCTCTCTCTCTCTCTCTCTCTCTCTTACTCTCTCTCTCTCTCTCCCTCTCTCTCTCTCTGTCTGTCTCTCTCTCCCCTCCTTTCCCCGTTCCAGGTGGATCAGATGTAAGCTCTTAGCTACTGCTATGGCACCATGCTTGCCTGCTGCCATACTCCCCATCACCCCATCTTGGTGGTCACAGACTAACCCTCTGAAACTGTAATCAAGCTCCCAATTAAATGCTTTCTTTTATAAGTTGCCTTGGTCATGGTGCCTCTTCATAGCAATAGAATGGTAACTCCAACAGCTACCATACCCAGTACCCTATAAAAACTTTAAATTTGCACCAGTAAACACAAATCAACAGTGTTAAAAATACCTAACACTTTCCTTGTATAAGATAGGTGTCCAGGCTTGGTGTTGGTGGCACACACCTATAGTCCCAGCTCTTGGGAGGCAGAGGCAGGCGGATCTCTGTGAATTCAAGGCCAGCCTGGTCTACAGAGCTAGTTCCAGGACAGCTTCCAAAACAGTACAGAGAAACCCTGTCTCGAAAAGCCTAAATAAGTAAGTAAGTAAATAAATAAATAAATAAATAAATGGACAGGTGTTGTTCTTTAGTTACAGTTATAAGAATAAAAGCTGGAGAAGGCGGGGAGGTGGTGAGTGATCCCGGGTGAGGGTCCCAGGTCAGTGGGGTCCAAAGGTAAGGGACCACATGGGAGAACATAGCAGGTTCCTTGGCAGGTGAGGCAGGAGGGAATAACACGGCAGGCAGATAGAGCTTAAATGAGGAGTTTATTTAGAAAGGGAAGTGAGGGAGAAGGGAAGAGACATAGAGGCACCGGGAACAGAAGAGGAGAGAGGGGAGAGAGAGAGGGAGGAAGAGAAGAAGAGAGGGCAGCTGGTGGCTAACCAAAAGCAGGAGAGAGAGAGGAAAAGAAAGCAAAAGAGAGTGTAAGTTGGCAGGGGTCTGACTTTTAAAGGAGTCCTTTACACCTGCCTGCAGACTAGTACTCACAGAACTGTGGGCTGACCAGAGTACTGCCTGAATACAATCTGCTAGGTGATGCCTGGGCAGTATAATGCCTGAATCCTTACAACAGGTGTCCAGTAAAGTGAAGTCATTTTTCATATTTTTCACTTTGAATTTTTGAAATAATTTCAGATTTACAGAAATGTGGTTTAAAAGAGTACATCTGTGCTACACTTTTCATCTACTTCCCTTATTGTTGACATCTTGTATAAACATGATGCACATATCCAAACTGAAAAGACTGACATTATTATGTTAGTTAGCTAAACCACCATTTTTACCTAGTAAAGGTGAACACAGCAATGGTTTACACAGTAATGCCTTTTCTTTGGCTGTGAACTGTTGCTCTATATGACATAATTTAAATTCACTGACCTGTAGGAATCAGAGTCTCATCCACAGGCAAATAGGCCTTGGCTGCTATGGTGACTTCATGATCATATATATTTGGGGAGCCCTGGGAAGGAAAAGAGAAAGAAAAAAATTTACTGCTTGGGTATTTGGGGGGGGGGGGAAGTGAGGGTTGAGACAAGGTCTCTCTATGTAGTCTTGGTGTCTTGGAACTCACTACATAGACTAGGCTGGCCTTGAACTCATAGAGATCCACCTGCCTCCTCCTTAGACACCACATCTGGCTGGTTTTATTTTATATATTCACTTCATAACTTCTGCAAAAATGTCTATAAGCATTGACAGTTAACTGGTGACTATGATTAATAAGATCACTTAAGGGTAGGTAGACAGAGCCTCCATTGCCACCAAGTTTGGAAGAAACTATCAAATGTGATTGTAGGGTGGGCAAGGGGCCCAGTGTGTAAAGGCACTTGTTGCCAAGCTTATATCCAGGATCCATAGGGTAGAGAAGAGAATCAACTCCTATAAGTTGTCCTTGGACCTCTGTAAATAATCCATGTCGTGTATGTGTATGCACACATAAAGACAATTTCAAAAAAAAAAAAAAAAAAAAAAAGAAAAAAGAAAAAAGAAAAAAAAAAGAAAAAGAAAGAAAAGAAATTGGCTTTAGCATGCAACTCTCTCACATACGAGATAAAAAGGTAAAAAGATGGGGGTGGTCGGGGAGTGGGGGCTAATCTATAACACAAGTCTTGGATAGCCAGAAACCACTTTCATGTTCATCAGAGAAGGCTACCTGTCACTCTTCTCTGGCTTAGCTCCTACCCACAGGACACATTCCCTGTCATGCAGCAGGAGTAAGAACTGCAGCCCCTGCTTCTGAAAATTCATTCTTTCAGGGAGACCAAAGTCTGGTCTAGGAAGCCCTGGTCAGTGGTCAGTGGTCAGAAGGCCCAGGGTGATCCAGTTCTAGCTCTTGCTGCCATGTCCCCAGGGAAGTCACAAAGTCTTCTAGATTTGAGTTGTTTTGGTAGAAAACAGAGAAACGGAGCACAGATTATTAATATGCTGTTTTTAAACTGGAAATTACTTTTATTCATATGAAGACATATGAGCATTACTTATTTCTAATATCTTAAAGCCACACAACAGAAAATGGGGAAGAGCATCCAAGTGAGAGCTTTCACTTCATGATTGCTCAGAAATCAGCTAAACCAAGGTTTCTTAGCTAGGGGGGAGTTTTGCCCTCAGAGGCACATCTGCAACGTCTGGACACATATGGCTGCTGCTTTTTAACCTGGAAGAAGTCAAGGATGCTGCCGAACATCCAAATTGCACAGAAGCCTCTGCTGTCACCACAAATTGTCTCACCCAAAATGTCTGTGCCAATTCTGAGAAACCCTGAGCAAAGTTCTGCAGAAGCCTGGTTCCAGGGAGATGAGCAATGAGTGGACATGGATCTTTATAGTCAGAAAGACTCAGGTCACATAGTCAAATGAATCATTCTTGGAAGGGTGGTCAAAGTTCAGAAACATGTAAGTCCATGTCTAAACACAACAGAAATGTTCTTCATGTCATTGCCAGGAGGCCGTGCTGCTGAGGCACCAAGGAAGGTTTGCCCCAGAAGCAAAAGCCTATCCTGACAGCAGGAGAGTCCCAAAGCATAAGAGCCAGGCCTGAGCTAATGTCATCCAGTGAGGGAAGCCTGGTGGAGATGATACTCTCTAGTCTCCTGCCTAGCCTGTGTCCAGGTCTTTACTCCCCTTCCCCAGGAGCCTGCATCCTTGCTGCCATTCCTTTGTAAAAGATAAATACCTATTTATGACCAGAATGTTGTTCTGATTTGTGGCTATGGACTGATTTCTTCTCTTCTAGAATTTCACATAAATGTCATCCCATAGTAGATAGCCTTTAGCATCTCCTATCTATGTCACAACACAATGCTCTTGAATGTGACAAGTCACTGGATCAGTGATTTGGTCCTTTGTATTGCAGGTCTAGTATTGTTGGGCTTTATACAACTCTCCTATAGATAAACATGTGGTTTGTTTCCCATGCTTTCACAATAGGAACAAAGCTGCGGAGGAATTTCCTTGACTGTTTTTTCTTTAAAAAAAAAAAAAATGTTTTAAGCTCTAAGGCAGAAGAAAATAAACAAAATAAACAACATGAAAACCAAACACCAAATACATGGATGAAATATTAGAAAGGGCGAGGAGAGATGATGTGTATTGGGAGCCCATCCTCTGAACAGCCCAGGCATTTCTGCACTGAAGAAACAAATGTATTTTCTGTGTCTTCTGGTCTGGAAATATGCACTGGTCTATGTTGGTGGAAGATTACTGTCAGACTCACTTCCTTTCCAGACCAATAAAAACTTGTCAGGAAACACTCGAGGCCCATCTCTGAGTTCAGTGTTTTGTTTCTTTTTTTTCCTGGTAATTCCCTTGATTGTTGCTTGTTGTAACCACACTGTTCACATGTATAGTCCATTGTGATCAGCACAGGCCTTAAAGACCTGTTTGTGCATTGGCATAGCTATTGTCTTGCAGATGACAGACAAGAGTTTTCTACCCAAAAGCTACAGCAACTCCTCTGCCATCAGCTTCCCTTCTCCTGGAAGGAATCAGACTTGTTGACTAATGTAGGCTAGGTCATATATGCAGGGAGGAGGACCCCTCCATAATCTTTCTGTTTTAATGCCCTTGCTGGCAATTGAGTAAAGCGTGGGTCACACTTCTGGCTGAAGAAAGATGAGGCAAAGCATGGGGGGGAGGGGTGTTTTTGAACAGTGTCCTCATTGTTCTTGGAAAAGAAAGCAGTCCTGTTTTATCTTTGGAGATGGGTACATAAGGATGAGACTCCTGGAGCTATGGCAGCCATTCTGTGATGATCCAGGAAACAAGAAGTTTGAAGACAAAAGCCCAAAGACCAAAGATGGTGTGGTGGTTTGAATGACAATGACCTCCATTGGTTCATGTATACTTGGTCCCTATTTGGTGGGATTGTTTAGGAAGCATTAGGAGGTGTGGCCTCGTTGAAGGAGGCTTGTCACTGGGGGGGGGGGGTAGTCTTTAAGGTTTCAAAAGCCCATGCTCTCTCTCTCTGTTTCATGTGTATGGATCAGCGCCATACCTGCCTGCCTGTTGCCATTCTCCCAGTCATGATGGTCATGACTAACCTTCTAAAACCACCTTACAAATAAACTCTTCTATAAGTTGCCTTGGTCATGGTGTCTTCTCACAGTGATAAAAAGTAACTAAGACAGAAGGAAATTGGATAAATGGAGGAAGATGGATCCTTGATGGCACATCTAGTTGCAGCAGAACCACACTGCTTACTTCCCATCTCAAACCTCCATGATGTACTTTCATAGCTCTACTTTAAAAAAAAAAAAAAAAAAAAAAAAAAAAAAGCTTCAATAAGAAAACATGTTCCTTGCTGGGAGGTGCTGACACACACTTTTAATTCCAGCACTTGGCAGAGGCAGGAGGATCTCTGTGGGTTCAAGGCCAGCCTGCTCTACAGAGTGAGTTCCAGGACAGCCAGTGCTGTTATACAGAGAAACCCTGTCTCAAAAAAAAAAAAAAAAAAAAAAAACCAAAAAACCCATCCAAACAACAACAAAGACAACAACATGGGACAGCCTCTCCAACAGGCTAAATATTGGGGGATGACTTTGGCTTACAGGGGACTGTTAATGAGGAAAGGGGCTGTCATCAACTCTACACAACTATCCGACATCATGTTATTTATTTGTTTGTTTTGGTTTTTCAAGACAGGGTTTCTCTGTGTAGCCTTTGCTATCCTGGAACATGTGTTATAGACCAGGCTGACCTCGAACTCACAGAGCTCTGCCTGCCATCTCAAATGTTGTTAAGGGTCCAGATACTAGACTGGTTTCAATGTTTTCACTAACAGCTTCATAAAGTGCTTTGAACACAGCTGATAAAACAAAGTTAGCCTCTATGATGAAACTGAGAACATGTCTAGTAATCTAAAAGGCCAGGTCTTCTAAATTCAAGTCTAGTGCCACCAGAAGATGAAAGAAGCCAGAGCACACACTACCTGAGGCACATTTAAAGGGGCTGGGCACACAGGCTCGTTTCCAACATTTAAGGAAGAAGTACAAGGGGGAACAAATGTGTATTCATGCAACTAGATGAAAGGGAATTCCTGAAATAACCCATCACTCATCTGAACCTTGGCAGGATGGCATATTTATTTGTTCTTCCTCTATGACTTCCATTTTACTGAACATCTATTTAAAGCCAGATACTCTGCTAGGATCATTCTCATCATCAAGGGCATGAGTTCATCTCCATGATGGGCTGGTCTCTCCAACCACATCCCTTAGCCATCCCTCCAGCACTCTGCTATTACAGGACAGAAGGAAGTTCACTTACCTGGCCAGCTAAATTGAAGTAAGAATGGTTGGTCAGATTAACCGGTGTGGTCTGGCTGGCCTGTGCTCTGTAGTTGATTACAAGCTCTCCACCATCCAGGGTATATGTCACCCAGACTTTCAACTCTCCAGGGTAGCCTTCCTCACCATCTGGACTGACTCGAGAGAACTGGACGCCATTGGACAACACCTGAGGGGTCCAAAGGACCTGGGAAGAAGTGTTGAAAGCTGCTTAGTCACTGCCAGTCCACATCAAAATGCCACATTTCAATATTTAAGTAGCAGAGTATTGAAAGGGAGCTGGTTTTGAATAATAGCCTGGAGCTTTGCTCATGTAAAACTGTTTTATGCTTTTGAGGAAAAACATTTTCCTCCTGTCTACTTGCATGTCCTATATTTTCTTCTCTCTCTCTCTTTTGTTTTTTATTTTTATTTTCCAAGACAGGGTTTCTTTATGGCTTTGGAGGCTGTCCTGGAACTAGCTCTTATAGACCGGGCTGGCCTCAAAGTCAGAGACTAGCCTGCCACTGCCTCACGATGGCTGGGACCAAAGGTATGTGCCACCACTGCCTGGACATGATGTGTACTTTAATCTTAGAGTTCCAGTCTGACTAATATAAGGCATAAAAACCAGGAATGTAGCTCAGTTAGCACAGTACTTGCCCAGCATGCATAAAATCCTGAATTCAGTTTCTAAAACCACAGAATTCCTGTCATAGTATCACATGACTATAGCCTCAACATTTGGTAGGCATGAGAATCAAGAGTTCAAGGTCATCCTCAGCTCTTAGGAAGTTCCAGACTAGCCTGGACTGTATGAGATACTATCTTCAAGAACAAAAACTTAATCAACCCCTTTCTACTACTACTATATATAAACATTTATTTATTTATTGCGCTTTTGAGACAGGATTTCTCTGTAGTTTTGGAGTCTGTCTTGGAACTCACTCTGTAGAGCAGGCTGGCCTTGAACTTACACAGATCCATCTGCCTCTGCCTACTGAGTGCTGGGATTAAAGGTATTAGAAGCCAGAGCCATGCACATGCTAGGCAAGTGCTCTCCCACTGAGCTACACCCTTGGTACCTCTGAAAATATTTATTCAAAATACTCTGAGGTTGGCCATGTTTCCTGGGCAGGGTTTAAAGCAAATGTTAGCATGCTTATTCTATTTGGAAGAGTTGCAGCCCACAAGTCAGGAGTCTTGATTTAGGGACTAGGGTGTCCCTCACTTAGTGTATGGCTTTGGGCACCAACCTTTCCCTAAAATGGAGGTACTGAAAAAGTTATCTTGAAAAGGTCTTCTTATTCTAACAAAAATGATTCTAAGAACAAAAGAACTATGGAGAAGTTCTCCAAAAGCACTTTTGCAAATGGAAACAGGAATCCGGGGTTCGCAGTGGAGATTCTCATCTTTGCCCAGGAATCCTAAGCTCATGCACAGCTCTAGTAAAGGGAAATCCAACATTTATCAAGTGCTCGTTATGAGTCACACCTAGCTAGCAACTTCACAAGGGCCATCCCATTGTCTCAGAAGACTAATTGAGGCACTGTTATCCAACGACTGGAGAACTGAAGCTCAAAACAAAAGGAAGTCTGAAACATATGGTTGCCCTCCCCCCTCCTCCCCCCCAGACAGGGTTTCTCAATGTAACAGTCCTGGCTGTCCTGGAACTCAGAGATTCGACTGCCTCCCGAATGCTTGGATTAAAGGCATGCACCACCATCCAGCACTTGTGTCATTTTTAAAAAAGAAAAAGAAACTTATCAAACGGATAAACTGTTCACCACAGGCTACCTGATAGCAACAGTGGACTTGAGCCAGAGTGTGTTCCTACTCCCTCTCCTACAAACTGGCCAGAGTCTCATTGCTATGGAGTTTGGGATAACTAGTAAAGGGCTGAAGTAAAAGAACTTCAGTTGGCTGAATGTTCCTGGGTTGCTTATCTATTTTCCATAAGCCACCTTAAGTAAAGGATTTGGTTCAACCAGGTATAAGTTAACAGTTGAGCCCTGACCATTTCTTATAGCACCAACTAATTTTGCTATCTTGGTTCTAAGTTCAGTGGAGTCAGGTTGCCTATTTCTACATTGCAGGATGGAAGAGAACCCAAGAATACTTCATGATTTAAAGAGAGGTGAGGGTGGAATCTTGCTTAAAAATCAAAGCTGTAATGTGTGCTAGAGCTAGGATTCAAACTTGAGTCTAGCTGCCTATGCTATTCCACATTTTGGTTTCAGTAAATGTATCCTTTAAATTTACATTTAAAAATATTTATTGCTAGGCAATAGTGGTGCAAGCCTTTAATCCCAGCACTCCGGAGGCAGAGGCAGGTAAATCTCTGAGTTCAAGGTCAGCCTGGTCTACAAAGTGAGTTCCAGGATGAACAGGGCTACACAGAGAAACCTTGTCACAAAAAACAAAAATCAAACAAACAAAAAAATTAATTTTTAAAAATTGTATGTGTGTTTGTGTGGGTTAGATGAATAATGCGTCTGTGGAGACCAGAAGAGGATGTCAGATCTCCTGGAGCTAGAGGTAAAGGCAGTTATGAACCACCTGACAGTGCTGGGAACTGAACTTGGATCCTCTTAAAGAGCAATAATTATTCTCTTTTTTCTTTTTCTTTCTTTTCTTTTCTTTTCTTTTTTTTTTTTAAACAGTCCAGGCTGTCCTGGGACTCGATTTGTAGACCAGGCTGGCCTTGAACTCACAGTGACCTGCCTGCCTCTGCCTCCTGAGTGCTGGGACTAAAGGTGTGCACCACCAATGCCCCACCAGCTGTAGCAAGTACTCTTAACTACCCCGAGCCACTCAGCCACCCAGATAACTTTTTTTTCTTTTAAGGATCAGGTGTAGGCTATAGGTTTAGGTTCCAACTGGCCTCAAACATGTGACCTGTTACCTCTCCCTCTTCAGCATTTCCTCCTGGCATGCATAACTGGCCAAATCTCCATTTTTTAACAGAACAGTTATGTTAAACTGTGTCATCTGAATAGAGTTAAAAATTAATAATCTGTTAGACTAGAGGAATAGCCTAAATGGCCAGGTTTTGTTTACTTTACTCCCACTAGAGACTGCTCTTATACAATGTGCATTTGACAGGAAGGGGAGCCCAGAAGGGACAAAGGCATTCCCACAGTGAAAAGCTACATTAAGAACAAATTCACTGAGATCAGAGTATACCCCAATGAACTCCCAGAAATGGTGAACTTCCAAGGCATTCAAAATGGGAGGCCTAGGGATTGGAGAGTTGGCTTAATAGTTAAGAACACTTGTTGCTCTTGCAGAGGACACATGTTCATTCCCAGAATCCACCATAGCTCACAACCATTCATAATTCTACTCCCAGAGAATCTGATGCCCTTTTCCAGGCATGCAGGGCACAGACATACATGCAGGCTAAACAGTTATAGATGTATAATAAAATAATAAATCTAAAAACAAAACAGAAAGGATGTCTGGGGGTGGCAAAACAGGTCTGTGGGCAATAGCATTTACATGGCAAGATGGCTCTGTGGGCAATAGCATTTGCATGCAAGCCTGACAACCTGAGTTTCACTTGTAGAACCCACAGTGAAAGGGGAGAATGGATTTGTAAAACTTGCCCTATGACCTCCACATGCACAGCACGAACAGACATGCATACTGTAGAATATTGGTTAGATAGATGCAATACATTCTTTTATGCTGTGGAACATTTGTTCAATGATGCGAAGATGTGTTGCATTCTTTTATGTTGCATTTGTTTAACTCTGTAAAGCTGTGTTACTTTGCATGCCTAAAACACCTGATTGGTCTAATAAAGAGATAACTGGCCAAGAGTCAGAAGACAGGCAGAGAGAATAAATAGGAGGGAAAAAAGGAGAGGAGGATGCCAGGGGTCAGCCACCCTGCCACATAGCCAGCCATGGAGTAAGAAGTAAAGACAGGTATATAGAACAAAGAAAGGTAAAAGCCCAGAAGCAAAAAGTAGATGGGATAATTTAAGTTAATAAAGACTGCCTAGTCCTTCTCACTCCATGTTGGACGGACAAAGGACCTAAGTTAATGCAGTTAACTCATTAATACTAAAAGACTCTGCTTTTGCATTGGGGAAAAAAGAAAAAAAAAGAAAGACTGGCTAGAAACAAACTAAGCTAAGGCCAAACATTCATAAATAAGACTAAGTCTTATTTGTAAGTGTATTTAACTGGGAGCTGGGTGAAGGTTCAATAAAGAGGAAAGGGTAAAAATAACCAAACACACACACAGAGGCGCACACACATGAACACATATGCCTATACACACAAGCATGCACAAGCACATACAGATAGGTACACATATGAACACACACATACAAAGTTATATACACACAGATACACACACACACACACACATGCACACAACACAAATGAAATTTTTAAAAAATTAAGGACACCTGTTACACTTGTAACTTTAAGGGGAAAAAATCTCCAAATGGAAAATTTTAGGAATTAAATGTTTGAAATAAAATGTTTTTGCCTTGCCACTTAGATTTCTAACCCTTAGAGAAAAGGCACAATGGAAATATTTTATTTTCTTCAGCTGAGTGCCATTCTTATCCATGGATTTCTTGACCCTGGGTTTCCACATTTCTGAAATCTCACATCTTTAGTATTTCTTGTACTATTCCAGTCCTGTCAGGACTCAACTTTCATTAAAAAAAAAAAAAAAAAAAAAAGTGTTGATATAAACAGAAAAAGCACATTATCTACAAACTAAATTATTCATTTATTGTTGAGAGCAAATGAAGAATAAAGCATCAAGTTCAACAGTACTGCTCATGTTACTGTATTAAAACTTTCTACTCCAAACGTCAATGGTTCCAAAAAAAAGTCAAGTCTTTCCCTCCACAGTCATTCTCTGGACTATCCACAGATGGATGGATATTACCTGCTCCTCAAGGACAGTTCAAATCCCACCACCCTCATTGCTATGCACCTGTTCACATCTATGCAGTGCTCCTATACCAGTTATAGAAGGGCCATCCTTGGGACCTCAGGAGCTAAACCTGTTAGGTTCCTGGGTGCACAGAAGGGACTCCCTCTGCTAAAGAACATTGCTATCATTGGAATGTGTCGTTGAAAAGTTTTGTCTGTCAGAACTTTGGATCTCAAATTCATGGTAGGGTATTTAAGGTAAAGAACCTGACAGGTGGTTAGGATTAGATGAGGCCATGGTAACAAGCATAGTCCTGTCCCCATTGTGGTTTTATAATAATAAGAAGAAAGATGTCACGATTATTCTAAGAGGCCTCCTCCATGTTAGGATAAAGCAAAGGGAGAAAGAGCATGCATGTGAAACAAAATCAAAGTCTGGTGCCATGCTCTTAAACTTACAGCTACCAGAAATGTGAGCTCATCTAGACCTTTACCTTAACAAACGACCTGGTTTGTGTACCCAGCTGTACTGACACCAAATGTTCTGAGGCAGGATTAAGGGGATGTACTTGAGCTGGCAGAGAGACTACCTGACATGTGTTTTGGATTCATCACATGAAACTGTGACTCCTGGGCTGGAGAGGTGGCTCAGCAGCTAAGAGAGCTGATGTTCTTGCACAGTGCCCAAGTTTGGTTTCTAGTACCCACATCTTGCAGCTCACAACAGACATAACTGTAGCTCAAGGAACCCAACACCCTCTCTGGCCTACTTTAGGCAAATGCACACACACAAATAAACAATAAAATAAATCTTCTAAAAAACAAATTAGCAATTCTAGCAATGGGGAGCTAGAAAAAAGAGGATCATAAATTGAAGATTATTCTCAGTCACACACACAGCCAGTTCAAAGCCAGCATGGGATCCTGTAAGGAAAAGAAAAGGGGGAGGCAGACAGCTATGCACTTACTATTTGTGTTCATAGAGGGAATATGTGTTAATGAATATCACAAAAATTACAGAAAAAGGAAGAACAAGGTAGATAAAACAAGTTGCTGTTTTGAGGCCCCTCTGAAGATCCTTTTCCCAACTACAGCTGGGTCCAGCTTCCTCTGGGTTAAGGTTTGCTCATGGACCTGGCATCTTGTAGAAATCCTCAGACCTAACACTGGTGGAACTGACACTTCACTCTACAGTCTGCTCTTCCTAGTATAAGAAGCACCTTGCTGAGGAAAGGGAACCAAGAGGGTAGTCTGAGTCTAGGACAGGAGGCTTCTGACAGAAGTTGGGGAGTAACCAACTTCCTTCAATAGAGAAGAAGCAGCGCTTTTAACTGTCACCCACATTCTCATCCTCTCTGGCTAGAGTCTAGGAAGTAACCTAAGCTGCATGGCCCAAAAGAAGGTTACCTTTGTGGTTTTCTCCCTCAAAGCCCAGAATAAGACTGGTCAGAGTTGCTGAGCTAACCCACAGCAGGGCTGGGAAGCACAAGGCAGGGATTTGTACATCACACTGAAGCTGCTTGGTCTACTTGCCTTCCTGACTTCATTTCCCAGGGATCTGGGAGTACCTGTTTAGAAAGGGGGAACTGGAGACAACCTGAGCTAATTTTGGGGAACAAAGCACTTCAGTGGAAAGGTAGACCTAGGTATGGTGCACACTATGCTTGGGGGAGGGAACTAGGACAGATACAAGGAGGTATGTTGGATTGTGTACACTGGTGGTAGCCTTGGAGGACACAAGGACTTACGTGTAGGAATAAGGGTTTGGGGCCAAGCAGGCCGACTATCCTACTAGAAAATTTATATAGCCCTTTGGGGCCCCAGCAGTCACATCTGGTGATCATGCACGGTTTTAACAAGGACTAAAGAAAATAGATGCAAATACCTGTGCAGTAAGTTGTAGGAATAATCATTAATCTGTGTTTCTGAAACCCAGCTCTCTGAGGCTAACTCTGTGTAAGCCATGCCCCGTCTTTCTGAGTTCAAGGCTGTCCAAGTCAGGAACCAGCAAACTCTTTGCTGGATCCCCTCCATAACATGAGTATTCCTGGGCCTGGGATTAAGTCTGGCAGATGCAGGCTTGAAGTGTGCCAAGAGGTGCACCTGTCACATGCTCAACTTACTTTATCAAACCCTCTGAATCCTCCATGGAGACTGTTGGGCTCTCTGTTGATGGGCAGGTGGTACTCCTTCCCATCCACTGTGAATCTTCCTTTGGCAATTCGGTTGGCTACCCTCCCAACCACTGCTCCAAAGTAGGGCTGCTTCTGGAGGTAACCTGCACACACAGACAGGACATAACAGCATCATTTTGTTTGTTTGTTTTTTCAAGGGTTTCTCTGTATAGCTCTGGCTATCTTGGAACTTACTCTATAGACCAGGCTGGCCTCGAACTCAGAAAGATCTGCCTAAAGATCTGCCTGCCTGTGCCTTCCCAGTGTACTACTAAGCCCAGCCTTCCTTTATGTAGTGTTAAATACACACACACACACACACACACACACACACACACACACACACATATTTTGCCTGCATGTATGTCTATGCACAAGTATACCTAGTGCTCAAGGAGGCCAGAAGAGGTCATTGGATCCCCAGGGACTAGAGTTACATACTGTTTTTTTTTTTTTTTGAGACAGGGTTTCTTTCTCTATGGCTTTGGAGCTTGTCCTGGAACCATCTCTTGTAGTTTTAGACCAGGCTGATCTTGAACTCACAGAGATCTGCCTGCCTCTGCCTCCCGAGTGCTGGGACTAAAGGCATGTATCACCACTGCCTGGTGACACACAATTTTTTAAATTTCAAAATCACCATACAATTAGCAAATAAGAGAAGTTTAAGTAAAACACAAGGGTACATGGCAGGCTTGCCAGAAGAAACAGAATGCCCAGTTAAATTTGCATTTCAGATAAGCAATGAATTGTTTTTTATTTGTTTGGTTTGGTTTTTCCAGAAAGGGTTTCTCTGTTTAACAAGTTTAACAACCCTGGCTGTCCTGGATCTTGCTCTGTAGATTAGGCTAACCTCAAACTCAGCTATCTATTACATTTCTCTTGACAGCTACAGGGTATCCTGATGAACATAAAATATTATTGGCTTTGGGGGCAGGTGCTGTAAAAAGTAAAGTTGCATCATTGCAATTATGATTTTGAACATAAGCATACTGTAGCATTTCCCACCCCCTTACGTTCCTCTGTGCTTGGGTTATAGCAGTACAGCAGCAAACATTAAGGATTTTTTGCAGTTTTTTTTTTTAAATACACTAAGAATTATATTCTCCTTCCCCAAGGCACTGTACAACCACCACCACTTCTGATAAACAGAGAATGGGATTCAAGCACATAAAGTCTTTTTTCCACAGTAGTAGGAGATGCTCAGGGTACAGACCCAGAACTGATTAAGCCAGTTACAGCTTCCCATTGCTCACAATAACCATTATGCAAGCTCACTGTCCTGTTTCCTCCCTTGCTAATCCATGATGCTTCTGAGTTCTACTCCCTGAAGATTGTAGTTGCTAACAATCACCAAGAAATTTCTAAATTTCAGACACTGCATTTCACTCTTAGAACTTTTCACCAAGGAAAGAAGATATTCTCTCTCTCTCTTTTTTTTTCTTTCTTTTTTTTTTGTTTTGTTTTGTTTTTTTTTTTTGTTTGTTTGTTTGTTTTTTTCAAGACAGAGTTTCTCTGTGGCTTTGGAGACTGTCCTGGAACTAGCTCCTGTAGATCAGGGTGGTCTGGAACTCACAGAAATCTGCCTGCCTCTGCCTCCCGAGTGATGGGATTAAAGGCATGCGCCACCATCCCCAGTCGGTACTAAGTCAGTAATAAGAGATACTCTTATTACCCCTGTTTCACAGAGAAGTTAAATAATTTGCACCCAGACATCATCGAGCAATAACACCCAGACTTGAATCTTGAAAGTCTGGCTCCAGAGTTTTTATGTTTCTGTTTCTCTATTTCTTTAGGCAGGATCATGTTATACAGTCCAGTTGGGCCTTGTAATTCTTCTTCTACCTCAATTGCTGGGATTAATGGTATGTGTCACTACATGCTTCCTACTCTTGAGTCCATGCTCTTAGGCACAATGTCACTACCAGTTCTCCCCACTATCCCAGGGCAAGTTGTTCCACTAGGGACCCACCCTTCTGAGACATCAAAATCCACTGATGTTCTTGTCCTCATAGAGAATAATGAGGCATTTACATATAACCTATGCATATTCTCTCTCATACTTTGTTTTAAGGGGGTGCTGGGAGTCGAATCCAGGTCCTCTGGAAGAGCAGCCAGTGCTCTTAACTAAGTCATCTCTCCAGCCCTCTCTCACATGCTTTAAGTCACAGATTACATATACTTAACACTTGTAAATATTATATCAATAATTGTTAGACAATGACTAGAAAAAGTCTAAACACCTTAAGTTCAAACACAATCCCCTACCCCAAATTTTCTTGCTTTTTATTATTTTTTTTTTATTTAGTTTTTTAGTGTGTGTATCTGAGGAGGCCAAAAAAGGACCTCACAACTGCCTGGAGCTAGTCACAAGCAATTGTGAGCCATCCAACCTGGCTGCTGGAAACTGAATTTGGGTCCTCTGAAAGAAAAACAAGTATCCCTAACTGCTCAGCCTGTCCTCCCTCCCTCCATCAGTCCATCCGCCTGCCCCTCCCTTCTCCCTCCCTCTCTTGGCAGGGCCTCTCTATGTAACCCAGGCCTGCACTGGGTCCCCAAATGCTGGGATTATAGACATAGGGCACTGAGAATATCTCTCCCAAATGTTTTCAATACATGGTTGGTGGGATCCACAGTTACTGAGGGGAAGGCTATATTTGGAAGCCACAGGTCATTCGGGTCCAGTGGCATCACCACTTCCCTAGAGATGGCAATCTCTGCCTGCCTCCATTCTGTATCCCACCTGTTTCCATTTAAGAAGCTGTGGCTTTAAAACCCCCCTTATAGTGGTTAACCAGAAAGAGTCCAAAGACCCAAACAACCTCTTTTTGGTTTGGCTTCATGTGCATTTTGGCCAGAAAGGGAGTGTTTCCTTTTGCACTCTCCTATAACAAAAGATGGGTGGGTTAACAGAGACAACAACACCAAATGTATCTGGTGACACACTGTGACCAAAGAGACTTCAACTCTAAGAGTCAAAGACTTAAGGTGAGCAGTCCATTTTTGTTCTTGGGTCTGATAAAAGGTGGACAGATATGTAAAAATATAGTTTAATTAAATGGATATAATGCAATAGTGAGGGACTGGAGAGGAAACCCAGCAGGACCTGTCAGATTCTTGCTGGCCTCTTTGGGAAGGAATCCCTCCTCCCAGGTTTGGGGTAAGACCCTTTCTTATTTAGGGGTCATATGACATGGAGCCAGCCAAGGAGGATCAGAGAACTTCTGTATAGCCAACTTAGAAATACGGGGAAAAGAATTACTTTTCTATGTACTGTGGCTGGGTGGATGGGGGAGAGCCATCGGGTTTCTGACTCACATGAAAAAGAAGTCTGGTTTCTGTGGCACGCATTGGTGGAGGATGACGAAGGATGACAACAGGAGCCAGCTGGCCAGAAGCTGCATCTAAGGGCTTCACTTGGGGGCATATTTTCTGAGCCCCAGTTAGACTCACAACCATTAAAAAGTGTGTGTGTGTGTGTGTGTGTGTGTGTGTGTGTGTGTGTGTGCAAAGAAGAGAGAAGGAGGAAGTAACAACAGTATAAACAAACACTTTGTCTGAAAATTGGTTTTGTCTGTTTTTCAGAGGTATCTTGATATATCTGACAAATGCACATGAGACATTCTGCCCAACAAGCTGTTCCAGATATTGGAGACAGCTGCATGTGAGCCAGCAAGGCTCCAGCTCAAACCTTCATTGGGGACCTCTTTCTGCAACAGTGACTCCGCCCTTGGAAAAGAGCCACACTTGCCAGCTCCTTAGTTTGGCTGAGCAGTTTCTAAGGATTAAACCACAAGGACCAAGAAAACATTTCCCCAGTTGTCTCTGGAGAACCTTTCACAGAACAAAGGCATCAAGTATCAAAGCCTTCCCATCCAATCAGGATTGAGAAAAATTATATGCTTAGATCCCAAAGAGGGCATGCCTGAAAGGGTTTTTGAATTGCAGAAAATATTGTTTATCAGTGAAGGATCAAAGTTCTAGGTCTAGCTATGAGTGCTTAGTGAACTCAACTGCCAAGTTGAAAGAGTAGATTTTAAGTTTGTCCTGGTTCTTGAGCCAGAATAAATTATTAAGTGCTTAATGGTGGCATACAGCCTTTCTACTCCCATGCCACCCATATCAGCGTATCAGACAGCCTACAACTTTACCAGAGGGCCCTTCTAAAGTCTGAAGGAAAATTACTCCTAAGGAAAATTACTCCCGATTTTCTCTCAGAAGCTCCACCTACTGAACTACTTGAATTGACAATCACTTAGATAGTATCTCCATGACATAGTATCAGGATAAGCAAACTTAAATGAATAAAAAGTTTAGCAGAGAGAAGCTATTTAGGGGCAAAAGAAGGAAAAGAGTCTTTGCTCATATGGATGGACAAGGGCAGATACATACATACATACATACATACATACCAGGTCTGGAGCCCTAAACAACTCACTGAAGATCACACGGCATTAAATCAAGACTTCTCAAAGTTTCAACAAGGGCATCCTTGGGCATCTGCAATGTCAACTTTGAGTCTTTAACTAGAGCTCTTGCTTCCACTCCCTCTTCAAAACCTAGGTTTGTTTGTTTGTTTGTTTGTTTGAGATAGCCTTTCTCTGTGTAACAGTCCTGGATGTCCTGGAACTCTCTTTGTAGACCAGAACTCACAACAAAAAGACTCTTTGCTTTTGCATGGGATCGGGTCTCTTGATGATTTTGGGGTTCAGAATTTGGGCATAGCATTGTGACATATGCTAATGCCTATCTTCACAACACTATGAAAACATGAAAAATGGGACTTTACAAGGGAACTAGGTTTCCTCTACCATAATCTTGAGGACAGCGAGCACTCCTTAATATTAGTAATCTATACGTGGTTTCCTTTCAACCTATCCTTTGAAAATAGCTTTTCTCTCCTTTGGAAATAATTCAGTATGAAATTATAGTGAAAGACCCACAGAGTGAGGACCTTCATGCTCCCACTCAGGAAAGGAAACACCCCAAATCACTCACAAGAAGCTGTCTTGATGTAAAAGCATGAGGTCTTTTATATTCCAGGTGCACTGGGGTCCACAGTCATGCGCCACACAGGAGTAGAGGACTGAGGACCCTGAGTACAGAATTGAGACAGTTTTTATAGGGTTACAACAAAGCCCGCACATCATAAACCAATCATCTCATAGCATCCAGAGCCTGCACAGTGTGGACCAATCAATTTAAACCATCCAAGCCCATCTTTTATAGACCAATCAGTTATAGACCAATCAGTCCTGGAGGTCTGCATTTGTGTGGACTCCTAGATGGGGTGACACATGGCAGTTAAGTCATTGGGGTGAGGGTTTCCACAAGCAGTTTACAAAGTCAGGTAAGCGGCAAGGAGTGTGACCTTTTGCCTATTTACTGGCTGAGGGCAGGGTCTGGAATTTAAGGTATTTAGTATTTTTAAGCTTCTAGCTTCCTGGGGTCAGTGGAGAGTTAGGCTGTATTTTTCTATCCTTATAATAGCAGGAATGAAAATGTCCATCTTGATATACATCAGCAAGAATAATTTTAAAATTCTAATTTGATGAAGCTGTGATGCATCTTGATAAGAAAAATGCTATAGACCAGTAGTTCTCAACCTTCCTAGTGCTTCGACCATTTAATACAGTTCCTCAGGTTGTGCTGACCCCCACCCCATCATAAAATTATTTCATTGCTACTATATAAGTATGATTTTGCTACTGCTATGAATCCTAATGCAAATATCTGATACTGGACCCAAAGGATTGGGACTCAGGTTGAAAACCACTGCTTTGGAGCCTTCTCAAGCGCCAGGGAGCACAACAAGGGACCTGCTGGGTTACTCTAATCCCAGGATAGTCAATACCTTTTGTCTAGAGATTTTATAAATAGGTGAGGATAATTCTTTCACTGAGCCTCCAATAGGCACCCCAAACTAAGATGAATAGCCTTACAATTGGTACTTCCATACCTGTAAAGAAACATTCCATCCAGGTGGAATGCCATCTCAGCTCATTTTCCATATGGACTCCAAAGACATCTTGTGATCTTATTTCAGGTCCAAGGGACTCTCACCTCAGAACTAAAAGTGGCTAGAATCGAGGGTAGTTGTAGTCTCTATGAGGTGATGGGTAGTGCCCCTCAGCATGGTGACCAGGTAAAGACTGATAAAGAGCAGGTACCACCCATCACCTCTAACTTTCTTCCTGGCTCTGGAATTCTACAGATCAGATTTGTCCTCCACTCCACTGTAATCTCTTTGGGATTTATTTCAACCCAGAAAAGGATTATGCTACCACCACAGAGGATTCAGCAAACTGGCTCCAAAGCCTCCTCCATCACACACCTGCCCTCCGGCCTTCCAACTTCAAAGATGTCTGGACACAAATGAGGAATCGGGGCTCACCTTCAAGTCTCCACACCTTCCTACCAGTCTGTCACTTGCAAACAGCCTCAACTAAGCTACCAAAGAAATTCTGCTGTGTGGAGGATGGGGGGGGGGATAACCCGTGGAAGGCTCTAGGGCAATAAAGACATAAAGACAGGCCAGGCAGTGGTGGCACACACCTTTAATCCCAGCACTCAGGAGGCAGAGACAGGTGGACTCTGTGAATTAGAAGGCCAGCCTGGTCTACAGAATGAGTTCTAGTACAGCCAAGGATGCACAGAGAAAGAAAAACCATGTCTCTAAAAACAAGAGAGAGAGAAAGAGAGCCAGAGGTGAGCGAACAGGAGCCTCAGCAATACTCTTATAACTCTTATAATGCCTTTTAATAAAAGGATGGGGAACACAACTATTTTTGCTTAAAAACAGGGTTTTCCTGTTGACCCCTAAACCAAGAGCCAAATTAAACATCTGAAGAACCAGGTAGGTATAAAGACACACCAAAAGGAAAACCTCAAACCTCTTGTGGTACAAAATCCTTCTACACCCTACCACTTAGAAGAGCAAACTAATTCTGTTCCCATTTGCCAATTTACTTCAGACTTTGCTTTCTGGCTGGTTAAGTTGGAATGGCAAGATGCACACTTTTCTGCTGCCAATCAAACTGTAATTTAGTGACTTAACTTTGTAAAGTGAATCTAAAATCTGTCTCCCCACCTTGTTGAGTGAGACCACTGCACCAACAGTTTCTAACTGCAGTTTTTAACTGCATCGTTAAGATAAAACTGCTGGTTGCTGGACGTTGGTGGCGCACACCTTCAATCCTAGTACTCGGGAAGCAAAGGCAGGCAGATCCCTGTGAGTTCGAGGCCAGCCTGGTCTACAGAGCTAGTTTCAGGACAGGCTCCAAAACCTGAAATCCTAACATTTGAGAATTGGAAACAGGATGATCAGGAATTCCAGGCCAGTCTTGGCCACATACGGAGTTGCGGGCGAGCTAGGGCTGCAGGAGATCTTGTCCAAAACTTAAACGACATCCGACCGTAATGATTAAGTTCCTGTCTTAGGAGGCCTTATATCCAGACTAGTGGCTCTCCTCCTTTCATTAAGAACATGTTCCTGAGCAAATGGAGGCACTATGCCCCACACTGACCACAGCAGCCAAACGCTCTGGTGAGTTTACAGCGGGCCTGTATTCTGAGGCATTTCTGCTCAAGGAGGCCTCAGAGAAAAACCGATGGAGGGTGGAGTAGTAACAGGCACCCGTGTTTGATTTTCCTTCCTCAGATAAACACAAGGGAGGAGAAGGCTCTACACACCCCGTTCGAAGATCGCTAAAAGGAGTTTGGTCTCTCTCAGCTGACTTCCTAGTGAACCGTGACTAGCCCGACTGCTAAGGGAGGCCAAGTCCTAAAGCTATTTGCATTCGATCTGTTTTTTTCTGATCACACAATTCTGTTAGCGCTACCATTATCCCATCCACGCACTTCCAGGTTAGACTGCCCCAACCATGGGAGCCTCGGTCAAATCCCGCGAGTAGCCAGAAGAACCCGGGGTATGCAAGATATAGACAGTCAGTCAGCCCTGGGCAGTACCCGACGACCTACCTTCCAACTCAGCAAAGCCGAGCACCACGTCTGAGGCTTTCCCGTGCCTGTCTTTGACATGCAGAGCAGTGATCGTGCAGCCCCAGGAGATGATGTCCACACTCAACTGGTCTGACCGAAGCTGGAACTTCTCTACTGTCCCTCCCCCCGAGGGCAGCTCTCCAAATACGGTTCTGGTCACCGAAACCATGAGGAAAATTGGGAGCGTGCAGCTATTCCCAGCGGTTCCAACTCTAGCTAGATCACTTTTGGAATGATAAAAGTTCCCAGGAGAAGGGCAGGGACTCGGTTTAACTCCTCCCCTTTAGTGTCTGGATTTAAGTAGTTGAGTACCTTGCGGGGGGTCGGGGGGGGGGGGAGATACCTGAGTCTTGAAAACTTTCCTTTGCCAGACGTACCAGAGCGGTAGACTTTCCAGTCAAACCTGCAGGTCTTTTCCTTCGCCAATCCTGGCTGCAGTGCATGTCGGGAAAGGTAGTCTTTCAGAAAATTGCATCTTGGGGCATGTAGTTTAAACCAAAGCAACTATTTATTTTTCAAAGGCGCTCGTGGTCAAAAGAAAATCTCCGTTCTCACTTTAATAGGCTCTGAGAAATCAATCACCGCAGGTGGGCAGGCGGCTTTACTCACTAAGCCATGCTGCCCATCCGCATGTAGTCTTTCTAAATCACAATATCCCTATTCCTGAGCAGAGCTGGTTGGCCGGTTAATGCTGGCTATTAATACTGGGACAATAAAACAGATCCTGAGGGAAGCCCAGTTAACTCTTTGATAGGGGTGTACCGGGTGAAGGAAGTAACATGGTACAGTGGGTTTGGAAATGGAGAAAGTCGTTGCAGACTCTTCTGCTTTGCTTTGCTTTCGTTTTTCTTTGTCTGAAAGGATTAAACCCTCACTAGACTGGGTCCTCTGACTTTCAGTTTCCCACATAGGCAGGCCCTCCATATACGTGTAATCAAAGAGCTTCAGATTGTGTAGACACCTACCCCCTTTGCTCCTGATGCCCAAAGCCCCTTTAAGAAGGAATTAATGGTGCTTATTGCAGAGGAACATGTAATTTTTTTATGGTTTATTTAAATTTATTTTATGTGCATTGGTGTGAAGGTATTAGATATCCTGGAACTGTAGTTACAGTTAAGAGCTGCCATGTGGGTGCTGGGAATTGAACCTGATTCCTTTGGAAGAGCAGTCAGTGCTCTAAACTGATGAGCCATCTCTCCAGCCTGGAACATGTACTTTTAAAAAAAGGAATTAAGGAAACACATATTTATTGCAGTCCAGGTAAATGCCAGGTACTGTTTCTTTTCATAAGCTTTGTAAGTAAGAAGACATACTTACGTGTGTACAGTTTGGAGAAGACTCTGAGGTCCTTGCTTAGTGTGTCTCATAATTAGCTGTCTGCAGTTTCTGACTCTGGGAGCCTAAGATGATAATCACAAATCTTCATTTTTTAAAATCTATTTACTTTATGTGTTAAGTGTTTTGCTGCGTGTATGTATGTACTCCTCATTCATGCTGGGTGCCCAGAGAGGCCAGAAATGGCCATTGAGTGCTCTGGAACTGGAGCCACCATGTGGATGCTGAGAACTGAACCCTGGTGCTCTGCAAGAGTAAGAAATGCTCTTATTTGCTGGCCCAGTAAAAATTTTATTTCTTTTTATTATGTGCATATGCGATTCTGAGTGTGGATTTATGCACATGCATGAAGTGCTGGTAGTGGCCAGATGAGGGACCCCTTGGAACTGCCACAGTAGATAGTTGTGAGGAACTTGACTGTAGATCAAATTCCCCTACTTTGCAAGAGTGGTATTAGCTCTTAGACTCTGAGCCACCTCTCCAGCCCTGGAAAGCCTTTCCCTCACCTCTGAGGCCATTCTGATGTTTGATGACTAACTCTGACTTTTCCCCAAATTAGTTTTTCATGGCCTAAGATTAAGAGCATGTTATCAGGAGCCTCAATAGATAAAATACATGAGATAAAATACAGGTACTTCTATCTTACATTGCTGAATGAATCTGCAGCTGTAGGAGGGTACTGGCTCTAGGAAGGAAGAGAGGTCTGGGAGTCTAAGGAAATATCTCACTCCATCTGTATTTGTGGTCTTTACCTTTGTGAGCACAGAAATGCATCTGTGATCAGGAAATTAGGTGAACCAAGCTCATGTTCCTGTAATCAAATGCTAATAAACATAACTGTCTCACTCATATCTGCCTGTGAAATTTGAAATAGTTAGCATTCTTACTACAAAACCTCAATTCTCCACCAAGAAATTAGGAAAAAGCTTGCAGCAGGCTTAGGTGAAGTACAACATATAATAACAAAAAGATCCAAACAAGTCAAATTATAGACTGTGCCACACTCACACAATAACGCAAAGGCACTCTTGCATGCTGCTTCATCAGAAACCCTTATAGATTCTGCAAGTCTCATCAGCCCACTTAACACGTGTGTCTGACTCATACACAAGCCCTTTCAGCAATGCTGTGTTAGCAAAGATGCTTGAGAACCTCTTCTGTGAGCAGAAAGATCACATTTTTTTTCATTTCTCAGCCTCTAGTTCTCAATGTTCTGCCAAACTCATGCTGCCACAGAATGAATAAAAGGCCCCTTGGGTGGCTAGCACCAAGTGTCACCAACGGAAGTTCTTATTGCTTGGCTTGGTATGAAACATATCTTATTTCCCTAAGATGTGAAGAGTACATGCCTTGATTTCCTTTTCATGTGGCTTTGAAGTGTTTAGCATATTAAATAGGACTACCTTATGTGAGCTATAAACCTTGCCTTCCTTATTCAAATATCCCATTTTCTTAATCTTGTAGCACTACTCTACATTCAAAGACTAGATCTACAGCAATGCTCACTGTCCATAGAATAGGGAGGTCAGCATCCAAGCAGTAATGTAGGAATGAACCATTGCTAAATCCTATGAGGTATTTAATTTTGCTTTTCAGACAAAACCTGAGGATTAAGTTACATGGTAAAGGAGTAGAGATTGTGATGACATCTTTCCCTCAACCAGAGACAGAGGTACCAGGATAGATAGTTGAAGAATAAGGCTTGCCTCTTCTCAGTGGGTGCAGTCACCTAAACAGGACAGAGACCTGAGGAGATATGAGCCCATAGACCCTGTGCTCCGCATACCACACAGAAACTGCAGGTTGAGAGCTCCTCCCAGGACCTCACCTCCAGGATTCATAAAGATGACTCTGAAGCCTTAAGCTATTGACTGGCTGCTGCAATAGGAAACTCTCAGTCTGTGTAGAAAGGCTTGGAGGAGGTTCTCTCCCATCAGATCCATCTGTTTTTGCATCCCTCTTCTTTCGAATTGTCTGACCTCCCATGCTGTTTATTATCAACACTTCTCTTGGCACTCAGAGGTTACTACCTGAGATAATTCCTTCCTTTCCAAGGGAGTGTGGGGGAGATGTTATTTTTGTTGTTCTACTCAATTATTGATTCCAAGACTCAATTTTTAACAATTGTTTTGAGAATTTCATACATGAGTATTATATTTATGTTATTCTCACCCCTCCAGCTCCCTTAACTGTTCCTATGTTCCTCACTCCCTCTCAAATTCATGGCCTCATCTTCTTTAACTATTATTGTTACATATATACATGGTATGTATGTGACCTACTGAGCCTATTTAGTATTGCTTATATGTACATGTGTTTAGGGCTGACCACTTGGGCAGTGTTAACTTATCAGGGGTGTTGTCCTTGGGGAAACCAATTCTTCTCTTAACACCCACTGATTGCCAGTAGCTCTTCATGTAGGGGTGACTCCTTGTAAAATTTCCCTCATCCACTTTGGCATGTCAACTGGTGCTGCCGTTATGTAGGTCATGTTTAGGTGACCATATTGTTGAGATTTCATGAGTGCAGTTTCTCTGTCATACCTAGAAGAAACTATTTTGCAGAAGATGCCAGACTCAATATTTGCTTACACACACACACACACACACACACACACACACACACACACTTGTTTTTGTTTTGTTTTGTTTTAACTCAAGCTCATTATATTTGGGTTCAGAGGGAAACTACCTGTATCTAAAAGCCTGGAAGAATCCCATCAGTCCAAAAGAGCTAGAATTCTTTGTGGTTCTACTCAACCTAATTTCATCAACCATTTTGGATTTGTTACTGGGGAAAGCAATATGGAAGGCACATGAAAGGTGTGGGAAGCCACAGCCCCAAGATGGCGCCTGGCTGGATGCCAGGTAGTCAGAGCTTAGCCATAAACAAGCCTTATTTGGAAGTGCTTGATGGACCTGGTTTGCTTCCTCCTTTTGTGGCCTATCCGGAATTGCCAGGTGGCATGAGCTGATTGGGCAGTGAGCGCACATTTAAGGGCTTGCTGGGGCTGGGGGAGGCAGAAGCTGATGTACAAGGTTCCTGAATAAATTGCTTGAAGAGTCGTGGTCGTGTTTCCTTGCTGGCCGAGATAGACACGATCCTCTCTCTGTGGGTGAACAGCTCAGAACTTCCCGCAGTCAGGGTAGTTGACTGGTAAGTTCCAGGTAAGGTGGGACCAAGTTAAGGACCTCGGTAAAGAGGCAATAAGGTCTCCGGTGGGAGCAATAAAGTTCCGTGGTTGGACAAGGTAAAAGTAACCAAAAGTGAAAGTATGGGGAATTCAACATCACAACCCATTTATCTCGCTCTTCAGGAGCTGTTGCATTCTGAGAGAATCTGGATACTGTACAGTATTATATTGTCTTTATATCATTTGACTGCTGAGGAAACAACTGTTAAAGGAAATACTGCTGGATTAATTCAATTTATATATTTTAAAAATGCTTTGACTCCAAAATTTAAGTCTAAGGACAAGTTACAGGGGAAAAGGATTTCTATTTTTGTTTCCACAGAAAATAAAAAGCTGTGGATTCCTTCCAGACTAATGTGGTTTGAGCAAGCCAGACCCCCTGAACAATAGTGTAGGTGGAAGCTCTTAATCGCCACATGGTGAAACCATTTTGAAGAGTAATGCCACCTGGATTAGAGGTTGATGGCCTAGAGCCTGGGAGAGGGGTAACTCGACTATTCCCCACAACCCAGGTGGGCTCCTTATTGTAATCAAAACCCAGCTCAACTTGGAGCCTCTAATCCTTTTGACCATTGATTAGCAATAGCACCTTTGCAAGCTCTAGTGAGAGAATGTTAAATTGTACACCTCAAGTATGCTTCTATTCTTTATGTTGGGATGGAGGAAAATTTCCTTTGGCCCTTGTGACCAGAATGCCCAGGTATGTTCCCGTTCCGGTAGAGAGCCCAAGCACCATGACCCTCTTTAGATAGCACAGCTATCGTGGTTGCCATTACAGCTGGAGCTGT